TATATATATATATATACACACATACACACACAGTTATTATGCATGTAATAAAAATAGGTAAGTAAATCATAAAAAAAATAAACATCAGACATTAGTGCAAAAACTTCAATATACACAGACATTCAAATTATATATACACACACATAAAGCGAGAGAAACCTTCACTATGCACAAACATCTCTCCCAAGACTCCTTACTTCGCATCTTAGTATCATCATTACACCTCAGCTGGACTTGAACTGGGTTTGTGCATGTATAAGCCTTTTATCAGCTTTCAAAAAGAAGTTCTGCTGACTGAACAGATATATTTCTCATTTACTTAAACGTTCTGCACTGAGGGACTTAAACCATACTGCAGCTGACAACCAGAATGCTACAACACTCTGATTTCTAGGTCAGATACTGTGTGTGTGTGTGTGTGTGTGTGTGTGTGTGTGTGTGTGTGTGTGTGTGAGTGTGTGTTTGTGTTTGTGTAGAATTTTTTTTACAGTGTATATATGTTATTCTGTTTGTATAACACATCACACACACACAATCCAACACAATGTTTCCTTCTGAAGCCCATAAAAACACACCCACCCACACATTGTGCCCCCTTTAAAGATCCACTTCCCATGCAGATTTGTGAGGATAATTCCCACAGTTCCATTCTCTGCATCTCACTGGAATGACACCCATTTCCTGTTCCCTGAGGGTCCTTACAGGAAGTGGCCTTCCTGTCTCTCTCTGCCTGTATTTGTTTCAGTCTCAAGAAAACATGCAACTCTGACACAACCCAAACAAAACATTCTCACAAATCGGGTTTTATGAAAGCCCTCGAGAATGCTTTCAACACTTCACACAACACAAGGAGAGCGTTTAGAACAGCATCTTGACCTCAGAATCGCAGGTTAACTCATTGATAGCTCAGGAAGTGGAAGGACTATGATATTTAAAAATGACTATGTCGTTACAGTAAATACCTGTCTGATGTAGAGGGGTGTCCGTTGCGGGCGTTCTGTTTGTCTGTGTACGGTGAGTCTGGAGGTGTGTGGATCCGATGGTACCCGCCGTGTTCCAGTGAGCCTATGCCGGCGTATGGGGGCTCTTCAGGAGGAAGTGAGGTCAGGGTAGACCGGCTGAAGTCTTGGATCTCCGCATAGTCTCGCTCTCTGGCCTGACGCTGACGAATCTCTCGCATTTTAGCCTGGATCCTACATAGACATTCATTGAAAAAGGAATGACAAAATACACACACATTAAAAAGAAAAAAAAAAAACTGAAAAATGAATAAAAACAACCGGAAAACAAGTAATAATGGACAGATCAGGATGAACAAAACCCTAAAAAAGAAGAAATGTCTTGATCTGGCAAAGAAAACATGATTTATTCCAGTATAAATGCATGATGTTCAATTTAGTTTAATTTGGTACTAACCTAAATACCTGGTTGTTATAATGTTAATGCTATTAAAGTTGGGGTAAGCGATTTCTGGTAGCCAATGTTGACATTTGAAATCACCAAAACAAACACGCCCCTACCCCAAAAGGGTCTCGCCTCTATTTTGATAGCTCCGCCCCACACATACGTACGCAACCCAGGCAACGATTAGTTCTGTGAAACAAAGCAAAACCAATGTTACACCGTGTCTACACCGGACGCGAGCGGCACGACAAAATACTATAGAACTCATTATAATCAGTGATGCTGTCTACACCATAGATATATATATACATATTTATGGTCTACACTGGATGCGGTGAGGCACGACACGACAAATTCCCGACAGAAAACTGCTGCTGAGTTCTATTCATGACGTATTGACACAAATTTCAAATGATTTTTAACGGTCGCTTTGTCGCGTCCAGTGTACTAGACAGACTTTAGCTGTTGAGGCGCAGACACGGTGTTACTCACCTATCGAGAAGAAACAAAGCAACCTCG